TGGTCCCCGGGGCTGCCGGCAGCAGTCAGGGAAGGGGGCTGCTCCCCAACCTGCGACATGTCACCCCCGGCGTGTCACCCCCCACCTCTCACCGCGACACTCGGCACATCGTGAAGAAAAGCCCGAGAAATCACGGCCGGTGAGCGCTGCCTGTGATATTTTTTTGCGTGAAAGCCATGAAAGCCTCTGCAGATGCTAATTGTTATTTTATGAGTAATATATATATATATAAACTTTAAAGCAAGGACTTGCTTTTTATGAGGCTTCAGTGCAGACTCCAAGGTGCATTCTCTCGTCACAGGGGTAATAAATTCGGCCGGGGGTTGCAGTGCCCTTTCCGTACAGCACCATCGCTCCCCACGCCTGCGGCTGCAGCCGGGGGCAGGGCTGCCAAAAAGGGCACACTGCTTTACTGCAGGGTCAAACGCGGCTTCGTAACAGTTTGCCCACGTTTTGCAGATGCGGGGAATGGCGGAGAGCTTCCCTCACGTAGGGTTTGCCTCTATGTCTTTGCTGAGTGAATAAATCATGTTCCCTACTTGAGTTCTTAGAGCAGCGTATAATGTTGATGTACCCTTCACAGCATTTCCCAACAGGCACACCACTTCATCAAAGTTGTATTATTAAAGAGATACATTCATAGGTAGTGACTCAGATTCTGATTTTGACACCAATTTTGTCAGTGCCTTTTCCCCAGATTCCTTTGTGTCAGGCTAGATGTGAGCATTTTTAGTTCTGCTTATATTCCCTACGCTTCACCGGCCGCTCTCTCCGCAGCGGTGATTAAGCGTATCCATTCCTCTTTCCCAAAAGAGTGCAGCTAGCCCAGAATTCAGCAATGCTGCTCACTGGTGTGATTATGCCTAATTCCAAAGCTTTACATTGTCTGTCTGAAAGAGAGATGCTGGACATTAAATTTGAGATCTGCTCTAATCAGCAAACCAAGTTTTTATCAGCTGGGTTGATGATTGACTTTTTCTCCGCGTGGGAGGGGTAAGCTAGGAGCAAGAAAAAGCATCCTAGGGGTAGGAATGGCATGTGCCATGGCATGGGTGTTACCCTGACGCGCGTTCGCTCCCAAATTCCTCCTCTCTCTGGTGCCAGGCTGGCGCAGGACCGACGGGTGGGCACTGGGAACTGGAGTGGGCGGGATGGGCCAGCGAGGGAGGTTTTAGGACCGAGTTAGTAGGAGAAGAGTGATTAGAGTAAGATCGGAATGGGCCAAAGCAAGAACGGGCAGCTGCTGCTCTATGCTTCTCTGATACTGCCTTATTCCCGCTGCAGGTTTCTTAGCGTGCATTTGCAAACACGTCTTACAATCCTTCGGGGTTTCTGGGGTGTTTTTTTAGTGGTTTTGTCGGTTGGGTTGTTATTTCTTTCATGCTTTATTTTCCTATTTTTTGCTTGTAATCGCAAGCCACCACCTAATAAATGTAGACTAATTTCACTCCTAGTGTTTAAAGTTCTTAGTGGATGCGTCAAGTCCTGTACTCGCTTTTTATGTTAAAGGTCATGTGCATGAATGAAGTTCCTCTTATTTCAACTTTAGCCCTTTTGGTAGGAAACAAGCCCCAGCACTAGAACTAGGACCCGTAGTACGTAAGGTTTACGGGCAAGAAATCAGCTGCTTCATCCACTGTCAAGTCTTGCCTGTGTTTTTGCTCTGGTGGCTCTTTCACAGAGTCCCCCACAAAAATCTTCTATCCTGTCCTACTTCTGAAAAATCCCCGTACATTTACTTTTGCTTTCCATGAATGTTTAGGAAGCTCACATTTAACTAGTGTTTGTACTTACTTTCCATTGTCTTTCTTACCTCTCCTTTAAAATGGATCCTCCTCTTCATTTTTAATTTTTCTTCATTCAACATTGCATATGATCATCTGCTTTTAATTTTTATGGTGCTATAATAACTAACTAACATACAATGTAAACACAGAATTATTCTACATTCAGAAAGGGAAGAACAAGTCAGTTTACACTGATGTGTGGGCGACAACTTTAATTTATTATGAGACTCTCCTTTTTGTGGACGGGTAATTGATGGGATTAGTGTAAGCAGGTAAACTTTTACCGGAAATATTCCAAATTTTGTTAGCATTCTTTATTTTAAGAGACATGCAAAGAGCTGAAAAGCATTTGTCTCTTTTCTCAGTGTGCAAACTAGAAAACTGCAATTAGCCAAGACCGGGTGAATTTAATAAACAAACAATTGGCAAAAGTACTATTATCCATGGTGGTTTTTGAAGGCAAAAGATTCTATTAAGAATGAGGTTGATGAAAGATGCTATTTTAGAGGAGACTTAAAAGGGAACTAGAGAGCCAGTTTCCAAAATTTGGAAGCTGATTGAGGACCCAAATTGTATTTATTTTATTCATTGAAACTAGGTGAAATAATCAGTTCTGCTCTTAATAAAGCCCAAGGTTTTCATTTGCCCGTGCTGATGCAGGATTGGAAAGATGAGACGTGACTGAAGAGTTAAGTTGAGAAACCGGAGAATGAATTAGCAACAAACACACCAAAAGCCAAAAAGGCGGCCAGCCAAAAATAGAGGCTCTAGTAATATTGAAATATTACAGTACAGAATAAGACCGTTAGAAAAATCTGTACGATAAAGGCAAATAAAAACAAATAAACAAAATAAAAACCTTTCCTATCAGCTGCCCAGCTCTTGTTCTGAGGACAAGATGGTGACTGTGATGGACCTGCAGCATCCAGGCAAAGGCTGTAACAGTACCGACCATCCGGTGCGAGAAAAAAGCTTGGTAAACCCCTGCGACTGCTGCAGAAAAGGGAGATGTCTCAAAGCCGCTGCTGTGCTCCCGACTGCCGCTCGTAGCCAAGATCAGAAAATTAGGAGGGCCCTGGGATCACCTTTTAGTGACGAGGTTTCATTAAGGCCTGATGAGCATAACTTCACTATACCTGAAATACTCTGGATTTGTCGTCAGTCACCAAATGATGTTTTTTAAAGCAATATTTGGGGGGGGGAGGGCGTGTCTTGGTTTACATAATAATAAATATTTAGTGATGAGGAACAATATTTGGAGGGAAAAACAAACAAGCGGCATACATACGTGTCAGATAGTGTCTGCAGCCGTGGGAAACCTTCGTCTGGAATGAACATCTGGAGGTCATCTCATCCAACTGCCCTGTCAAAGCACAGCCAGCCTAGATAAGTTTGCTCGTCTCTATGACATCATCGTGTTTTTCCACACATATCTTTTATCTTAGTTCAAACACTGTCACCTGGGAGAACACAATGTCATCGTGGAAGTTTCCCAGTTCTTTATTTTGAAATTCTTTGGAAGACGGGTCGCTATTTTCATCAACAGAAGGAACAAGATTTGAATTTGGGAAACACATTATTACAGTTACCTGACAAGTAGGATGTATAACAATTTATTCATAAATGGATACATTTTAACAGGAATTACATTGAATTACTTGTAGTTGAAAGATTCATATCAGTTATATTACTGGAAAAGAATTGCGTTCCTACGTTAAATTCAGACTCAACCAAGAAAATTGTTCTGAACACACGAAGCTTTTATTTTTTCCTTTAAAATAGATGGTGCCAAATCTTGAATTCACCAGCTGTATCAAACTGCTAGAAATCAAGCTATAAATACTTAATGTATATCATTAGGGTGCCAAACATCCTATCTGATAAAAATTGCATGGGTGCTGAGAGCTCTCCTTAGCTTCCGGTATCAGGCATTGTAAAACTGAATGAAAAGGGGACTACGGTATCTTAATCCTTTCGTTTTTCCTGAATATGTTTACCATTGGTGAATGGTTTGATAAAGCATTTAATTGCATGTTGCTCATTAGTGGTTAAGAAACAGTGAAGACATTTTGGTAGACTAATAAAACGTTCATTTGCATGCATGCATTGTAATTTTACATGTTACTTTCCATAAGCGCTAAGAAATCTCACCCTTGGATCTCACTATAGGTGCTTTCAAAAAAGTAATCGAACACTTTGGGAGGTTGGATATTGTGGTCAACAACGCTGGAGTCAACAATGAGAAGGACTGGGAAAGCACTATACAAATTAACTTGGTAAGAATTATTTCCTTTCACGTGTTGCTACTTTCTTTAATGCTGGAATACGCTTAACAGCCCTTGGTGTGTACCGATTGTGCCATACGACAGAGCAGGAACGATTGGGTTGGTGAGCACGGCCATTGAATCAGTGACCCCGTAACTGCGTACGTACTAACCGCTGAAGCACCCACCGCCCACATTTCAGTTGTCTATCCAAGACGTCTGGCCCTGTGTAGAGGTACTCAGGCTAACGCCAGACAAAACTCTCTCTGTAAAACCCGACGAAGTCCCAAGTAGGTGGAACAATGCGGTGCCCAAAGCAGCAGAGCTGCACCTACAGGAGGTCAGGCTGTTTATACCAACATTTTAGAACATTTTCGCTATTTGTGAGACCCAGCCGGGCTGTGTTAGACAGTAAGTTGTCATTTTTTGGTATTACAAGAAAACTTGTTCAACTAAGAGCTCCACCGTTTCTTCACCAATGAAGCAAGAGGGAAAGCCTGAGATTTTCATATAGGCCATGTCACCATCACCACCGGCAGAAGCACACCACTTCAGAGCACTTACTTGCTAAAACCCAGTACATTCAACGAGCCTGTAAAATTTATTTTCAAACAGACTGTTGCCAGTTCTTTGATATTATCTGGCATCTCATCAGGTGAGATCACAAGATCTGTTTCTCTGTTGAAAGTTTTTTTAATTTAGACTACACTGCAAGGAGAGCCCAGCTCCAAAGGAAAGAGCAACTTTCTAGGTCAATAACATTCTGACCAACTTGTGTTCTACCACCTGTGAAGTTCTAATTTGATGGTGAGTCAGTAAGTCACCCCTATGACCGCACTTACAAAGTGGTGTAATCTAGATCTGCCAAGAAAGTAGCCAAAGGAAGGTGGAAGAGTGCAACGTGGAGTTTTCTCTAATCAGTCCTTTGGAATTTGTCAAGGCAACAAGAAAGCTCAGGATAAAAAAAATTAAAAGTTTGTTTTGTCAAAAGTTTTAAGGACAAAGGTACCCAAGTCTTTGAATCCTAATGACTCCATGAAAACAAACTAACAAAAAGACGCCAGGACAAGTAATACAAGCTGCATATGAGACAAGCTATGGAAAAATTAATGGGAAAATATGTATTTGGAAAAAAAAAAAAAAAGTTAGATTTACTAATACTTTTTCTTGATCTTTTATATCTATTCAAATTCAAATTTGCTTATTCTTGGAAGGGACTGAACTGAAATCACAGATTAAAATGTTCACAATGAGAGAAATACATTTGTTCAATTTCCTTTGCCTTTTCTTTACACTTTCTTTAAGATTTAACTACACATATTTCTTCCTCCCTCTTTCCTTTCTAAAACATTCTGACAAATTCAACACCAGGAAACTTCATATTGTGAAGTAACAGGAGCATGACATCTTCAGTGCTATGCAACGTCGATATCTGTTGGGACAGATCCCTCGAATTTGAAAGCAGACTTTAGCTGTGTTCTAGATGACTTATTTTTCTTTATTTTTGTGCCTGGTTTAACACAGGGTACGGCAGCATAGGCAGCCATCCACCTGTCACATTTGCAAGCACAGATAGTCATCACAAGAAAAATTGAAGTCCATGTGAGAAACACATTTGTCTGTGATTCACCTTTAAATTTAGCTCAAAAAAAAATGCATTTCTGATCAGCACATCTTGAAGGTGTTTACCGTCTGGGTAAACAGCCTAACTTCGAGTGGTGTCCAAACAATTTTTCAAGGCCAAGAGCTTCAAACAAAAGGCATTGAGAACCTCCGTCTGTTATTCTTTTTCTCTTATTGCCAGCGATTGGGCTGAAGCAGTCCGGAGATGGGTTTGAACCATCTCAAATAGCAGAAAAACTGGAATCCAAGTCTTACAAATATATATGTTTAACTATCAAGCTATTGCCCCTAAAAATTAAAAGAAAAAAAAAAAAGAAAGAGTATATCGTTTATACATTATTGTATAGGTAAGTTCACCATAAGTCTCCTAAAGACTTAATTAACTGTTGAAGGTTGAAAAATGTCATCAATGCATGGTGGTGGCTGGAATAAGAACATCTAAAATGATCAAGCAGAGTAGAAGTACAGCCATGTGGGTAAAATCAAGGACACTCTAAAATCCAAATATCCTCATTTATCTTTTGATTTGAATCTTCTTTCCCTGTCTAGCCTTGAGTCACCTCACTAGCTTATTTCCATAGGGTATTTCTGTCTGGTTACTGCCATTTCCATCAACCAAGACAGAACATTTTGCATTTTTTGCTTTTTAACTACAACAACTGAAGAACAGCAGCTGCTGCATTTCGTATGTTGTATTGGTTGGTTCCATGAAATATTCTTTGCTTCTTGTAGACGAAGGAGCAAAATATGTATGAAATACATGATTTTAAAATGTCTCCCCAACATTGGACATTTTAAGCATCCTTTGTATTATCCCTACGAACAGGAATAACTTCTATAGACTCACATTTTGATACACATTATGCACATATTTTCTACTTTAAAAAAAAAAAGGAAAAAAAAAACCCTCTACATGCCAGTCTTCATCTTAATGATATCATTTATATACTGATACAACAAATATTCCCTGCCCCAGTATAAAGTACAAAGTACAGAAGTAGAGCAGTAGAGAGCAAGATAAATCAGAACAAACACGCATGGGGTGTGTTCTTTATGGCTAAAAAAGTTCACAGAACCGGTTGGTCTTCGGGAACGTTTTTAAAGGAGCGCAAGGAAGTTCCCTGACAGTACTGCTTGAGAAAGCATGAAGAACAGAAACGAAGAAGAAGAAAAGCGGGACGTAATTGAGAAGGAAAAAGAGGGAATAAAACACAGTTCCTGCCTGCATCCATTACAGTTCCCTGAGAGGGAGAAAAGGCAGCTTGATAAAGATGGGGGGGGAGAATATCAACCCCTAAACAGAGATTTCTGTTGCAGTGCTTCCCACTGTTTTGCTGTATTTTCTGCTAAGCAACATCCACTTTTTTGTTACTTTATTAATATTTCTATTACCTTTTTTAGTTAAGCATTCCAGCAATGCCATCCATTCCTCACCGCAAAACTCCAAAGCCGATAGACTTGACTCGATCCATATCAACTTGATGAATGGCAGCTTCAACTACTCATACCCATACAACCGTACACTCTTATTATTACGGTATATAAAAAATGGTCTTGGCAGCCATACAGGAATTCCATTTTAAATGGATATTGCCAATGTAGTTTCAACAGCCCGCGATGCACACACACCCCCACGCACAGAATTAGCACAAGGACATATGACACATATGTTCTTATCAAGAGTCCTCCCTACAGTCCTCCAGCGTGACAAGAACAGTGTTTCTTGTGTGCAACTTCACAAGAATTTATGCCGAAGCAATCCAGAAATTTTATAATCTGACTTTTTCCTCTTCAAGTCCCCAAAGAAAGAAAAACGCCCACATCTTTGTAAGCCTTGAACATGCCTGTTAGTTCAACACAATTTGGTGTACTAAGAAGCTTCCCTAATTTTATCCTGTGTTGATGACGTAGGCTTTCTGCAACCACTGTAATTATAGTGGCTGCTTAATTACAGTATCTTTTCTCTTTACAAATGCACTTAGCACACTTTATACTAAGACAATCCCAAAATTTACGTGGAGGTTCCTTTTTTATGCTCATATTGGAGATTTCTGAAACCTGACGTAGGTTGAGGTGTACAGTTAAGTGCAGCAGTACTGGCATCACATACTCTTACATTTTAAATATTTCCTGAATCAAAACTACAGATGCACTTTACATAACATTTTGACTATCTTACTGTTTTCTTATGCCAACAAATTAATTATTTGTTGGTATATTTAAACCGATTCCCCAAATGAGATTAAATAGACTCACAAAAGAGTTTGACAGCAAAATCACAATGAACAGCAAAATCACAATTATCTCCTGTTTATGTAATGGCTTTGGACATCTTAACACATTATTCTGGCAAAACCTTAAACTGCAGGCCATAACTTGGGCATGCCAAAAAACCTGAGTCATATGGGATCCAATTATTTAAGTGTTGCCCAGAGAGAAGTAGAATTCAAACATACATGTAAAATTTGTCCAGGTGCAGGACAGTCTCATCCTTCATTACTGGGCAGAGTGGGGCAGTAGCCAACGATTCCAAGTTTTTGCATTTTTCATGGGTTTGCACAATTTAGTTCCGTGAATGACAAAGGTAGTAAGTTTTTGTGAATTTAGAGAAGTCCTTTTCTAAAATAAAAGCTACCTAACTCAGGGTTTGTCCCTCCAAAATACCTGGATCGGTGCTACAGAGAAGAGAATGGAACACTGTATATGTGTGGCTCTCTTCAATATAGCTCATGGGGAAAGAAAGATTCCAGCAACTAGCAAACCTTCCAAACCAATTCATTTGCTCATCAGTAAGGAACTATTCCTCAAAAGGCCGATTAATGTCTCACCAAAAACCAGAAGGGTAACTAGGCACACTTCAGAAATGATTAATTTTGTTTATTTTTGGGATAAGGACTTCGTGATCACCACAAGGCTGGTCTATTGTGCAAGCCATAAATGGGATCCGTTGGTAGTATGCTGCAACCTTCCTCTGGTCCTTACACCTTGCTCTCCTTTCCCAGTGTACAAGGACTGAACTTTCATCCCAAAAGAACGTGACCGGGACAGATAGCTGCATTCAGCAGGTGGGAATTCCCACCAGGTCCCACAGTACAGACAGGGGTGAGCGCTGTGTCTTAATGCCACCAACATAGACACAAAACAAACCCCACAGTGCTATCTGTAGAAGACAAAATGGCATAGGTAACTAGTTTATCAAGCTTGTGTTCTAAGACAACCAGAAATACCCAAACTCTGATGTTCAATGGCTTAGTTGCTTATTCTGCAGCATAATTTGATGTCAGAAAGAGGACTAAGTGCCCTGGGAGAGATGTGGCCACCAAAAAGTGAGAAGGACCACTTACCCTGAAATCAGTGGCGTGGGGGTCAGTCCTCTCAGTGCAATACAG